GAAAAGTTTCTATGAAAGTCTGTTTACAGTGGTAATTAAAGTATTGTGAATTCAAAACGTGTCCTGCCGGACAGGCTCAGCACTTTCACTGAAGTAAGTCAGCACAGACAACTGCGTATTTCTTGCATCCAGCAGCTTAATTAGAGAGTTCTAGGTGGGAAGAAATATCACGCCCTACTATCTATATGAACCAATATTCTTAGAAGAGAAAGAACTCTACTGCAGACTTGCCATGTCCCGGTTAATCATCCACATTTTATTCAAGCGTGTGTGGCCTTTTTGTTTGTTTTGATGAAGGTGCTTTCTCTGTGCACTGTTGATGCTGCAAGACATAGAAATTAAGAAATGTTTATATTAGCATTTCCACAGCACCATGAAAGACTGTTGAAGATGTACATTTTACAGCATAACTGGTATACAGAAGTGATGCATGTGCAGTATGTGGGTAAGGAAATATTTAAATGTCACTAGGAGAAGATAAGCTTTTAGATTTCTTGTGTTTTGTATGTTTAAGTACTTGACTTTGACATTGCATGAATTCTGATTTTTTTCAGTTTGTTTTTCTTCCTTCAGTGCTTGCTTTTTTATTTTACAGACTGATTTTCTGACCACAAGAAAGCAGATAGAATTACTTGATGTTGAGAACCTTGTTAATTTTATGGCCCACTTTCACGTGGAGATCAGCTTTTATTCCCCCCCTCACTCTTTATTCTTGATTCAATTGTCAGTAAGGTTTGCTGAGCAGAAACACTGGATGTATTATGGGAAGAAATCTAATCAATGCACCACCAAGGGACAGTCCTTCAGAAGCCTCCCTAGTGGCTGTGAGCCAGACTGGAGGTTACTACGAGGTTACTCTGTCTGACTTTTACCAAAATACCCAGCTACTTCTGAAAGGGCTGCCGGCAGCCCTGTGCATGTGTAACAGAAGCCTCATTAATATAAGCTCCCAATATATATACACCTGTTATGCTAGCCCCCAGCACAGAGCCTGTGTTTCCTATTTTAAACACTTTGCATGTCTGTCTACATTCCCTTCTGTCTGCAGTTGCTCTAGTGCGTACTGCAGAGCAGCTCATATGCAGTACCTCCAGGGAATGCAGGAGGCTAAATAAAGTTGCGGCAGATGTCAGGAGACTTTGCCAAACGCTATTTTCCAAGTTAGATAGTTTGAAAAATTAACTGGCTAATCCCAACTCTGTAATATAGAAGTAACCTCATTAGCGTGCAGCCTCATTAAGTATGCATTTCTTTAACTGCTCCTTTATCGGGTTTTGATGAAGGAAATTGCGTTGACAAACATGTGGGAAATCTTTATTTGACTGGCAAAACTCTGCTTCCATCCTTGTCCCCAAGCCCCAGTGCAAAGTGTGCCGTGTGACTCTTAAGCTCTTTTAAGCAGTACAGCACTTCCTTAGGGCTGTTACCTGTTTTGGCTCTGAGTTCTAAGAAATCACTTGACAGCAAAATTACTCTAAGCCGAACTTTTCCTCTTTCATAAAATATTAGTTCAACACATTCCAGAACAGGGGTTTCGCTCAAGAAGTTACACATATTCTTTTTTAATGACAAAAAAAAAAAAAAAAAGTATCAAAGCAGTATCAGATACAACTACTGCATTTACTGATTCAGCACAGGAGCAAATTCTTAGCAAACTCACAAGCTGTGTTCTTTTTGGCTTGGTTTTCATGACCAATGCATGGAGAACCATTCACATCAGTACCTCTGACAGGCATTTGCCATGTTTGGCATAAAGGGGCAGTAAGTTTGCTTCACATAGCTCTCAATGAAGGCCTAGTGGTCCCCCCAGCAAAGCCAGAGATGCCACAAGGGATGGTGCTCTGGTGCTGTCACTCCAAAGCCACAAGGTACTGCTGGCTATACTCAGGTTGGTCACAAGGACACCCTCCTGGTGGTGGTGTGGTTCCAGTGTATGGGGCCACATTTCTGTAACAGGACACGTGCCATTACAGGTTTCACAGTTCTTTTTACAAGGTGCTCTTGATGATGCCTGCACTTTATTTTTATTGCCAAAGCCTTTTCCATGCAAAATTTCAGTGAGATATGAATCTTAGAACTAGGAGCTATCAGTGGCTAACAATTTCTGCTGTGGAATGTGCTCCACAGGGAATTGTAGAGGCACTTTCAGGATCTGAATTAACTGGACTTCAGTTCTAGCACTTCCCCATCTGCAGTGATGGTCTTCTTGCTTGTATTCTATTGCAGCATTTGACTGTAAATTATTACAGCCTAGCCATTTTGGTAGGCATTTTTATTGCCTATCTTTTTGCCACAACTTGACAGCACAGTCTCCTCAGTTAAAAATCCTAAGAACTTAAGGATTACCAGCCTGGACTAGAGCAAAAGCCAGTCTGGCAGTCTAGGTCAGCACTTTCCTAAAATGAGACCAGTGGTGCCATATCATGGAGATCCTACTTGAGCATTGTCTGCTGCGTTTTAGTAGGGTTTGTTTTTAGTAGGTTTTGGTTCAAGGACCATTTTGAATGTAAGCAACTTTTTGTTCAGAATCCTACCTAAATATTACAAGTATTACTAAAAAATTTTAGAGGAAATAAACTCCAGTCTGGTCATCAAGACTCCTACTATCAAAGTAGGAGTAGCATCTTTGTAATTCATAATACTGATGTGTACTTCCTATTGTGATTAGGTTTTAATAGTATGTCTCAGTGAACTGATGCTTTAGTTCCTGTGGAACAGGATCAAGTATTGTGATTGTTTTACTTGAGTGCTATTATTAGGGTAAGTTCAGGAACTTCTTTTCATTATTTGAAGTGAGAGTTTTTCTATGGGAATGCTGTCAATATAAATGTGACTGGAAATTTCATGTGCTTTATTAGATTATTGAAATCTAGGTGCTATAGGCTATGTCAGCATATTTCTGAAAGAAAATATTTCCCTGAAGAGATCTACTCAGAAAAGTACTTCTAATTCTTTGTACGCTTGTATCAGATCTCAGCATTTTCTAATTAAGAGTATGTGATATTTTCAGTCCAGGAATCAAATAGCATGCACAGGGAACAGGGAACTTTGAATATGGGAAAAAGATAAGACTGTAGTCTGACCAGTACTGGTGGAAGAACCTGTAGAAGTTGTGAAAGTGCAATAGCCTATTTAGGGCTTACTTAAATTGCTGCCTACTATTGTTCTACAACGTGAAGGAAATAATGCAAGTAAAAGTGGAGCAGTGGTTTTCTGATTTCTAAAGACCAGCTGAGAGATAATGTAAATTGAAACATACTGCTCTTGGTGGCAAATCCTCCAAAAAAAATGCTTGCAATCTATACTTTAAGGGGTTGAAAAGAAATAGCAATAAGGTTTTGGCCCGTCTTGTGGGCTATGTTCATTTGCTTAATCAAATATGAGGATAGCAAGCTTTCTCTCTTTGAAGTGAACATCTTGCAGTGTTGCACAGTGAATTTTGTCTTTACTGCTTTGGTGTACAGTATCAGTTATACGGCTTATTGCCGTTTTGCATTGCACTGCTATCATTATTAGTAAAAAATAACATCAATAAAACCATGAACTAAAAAGGAGGAGCTGAGTGTTGTTCTGCTAGCATGTCTACGTTTCTTTCTGTTGAAATGGACTAGTTATGCTCCCAAACAAGAGAATTTTCCTCTTCTGTTTTAAAATACGTATATTCCTAAAGTAGACTTTAAAAAGAAATATCTCATTAGGATCAAGGAAATAAGTTTATTTTGGAGCCTCGCCACTCTCCACGATGCTTACAGGTATCCAGTGGTGGTTTCGTACTTCAGATTTGTGCTTTGCTGGATTCCTATTCTGAGTGTAGGATTGCTGGTCCAGAGTGTTGTGAACAAACCAGCCATCTTTCATTTGCTAATTCACTACATTAAATGGCCACAATGAGGTTTCATTTGCATGTTATATTGAATATGCGTGATATTTTATTCTTCCTCTTTGCTGTACATCTTATTGCATACGTCAGGAATTTGTAAGAAAACATGGATTACCCTTGCAAGTAAAAAAAAGAGAAGAAAAGAAAAGAAAAGAAAAGAAAAGAAAAGAAAAGAAAAGAAAA